CAGTCAGTTCTCTTTCATGGCAGGGTGCAAGCAAGTGATGATGGCCTCAGGGCCTCAGTATCCAAGCTACAAAATGAGAGACTTTGACCCAAGTCCCCAAAGAAAGAAAATCAAGAGGCCACCCAACCCTGATGCTTTAAATTCGGAACTTTCCACCTGGAGGGCTGGGCCACTGCTGTGGTGCGTGGCCCACACCCAGTCATCTCTCCTTTGCGTCTGCAGAGGCAGGGAGAAAGATGGCACTCGGAAGCAGCCAGAGTCCTCAAGCCCCGAGCTTGGGCCCCAGCAGCCACTTGACTTGCCCAGGAGGTGGCAAGAGGACACGTTGTCATGTTTGAGTTTCAAATCCTACAAAGCTGGGGAGGCACTGTATATGCAGTCCGGCAGGGCTGCAGGTATAAGACTTGGTGCCTGTGGAGATTTCAAAAGGGTGAGAAACTTACTTAGAAAACAAAAGAAGGAGCAGCATCCTTTCAAATGTTTCCCAAGTCCCCTTGCAGAACCCCTTCCCTCTATTCTGCTTACACTGCTTTATCTCAGAACTCAGCTGCCTTGCACCAGTGGTTATGCCACAGAGTTCTCTGAGCCCTTTCCAAAGACTGCAAAGGTTCATGATCAGCCCTGGAGGTGGCCTCCAGAGATTACTTGCACAGCATCTGAGTGACAGTTCAGGCGCTACAGGCGCTATTGTTGAATAGGTGGCAGACTTCAAACGAAAGGCTGCTCCTTCCTGTACTAAGGCAACAGTGCCAAACCTCTTCTTCCCCTCTAAGGTCAGAAAAACAAAGAGCAGCAGCTTCCAGGCTGACTGGGGAAACCTTGAATTCTTCAGATTTTTTTTTCCTGTCTTTTTTGTTTTTATCGGTACCAGGGACTGAACTCACGATTGCCTGCTTGCAAGGCAGGCACTTATGCTGCTGAGCTAAATCCCCAGCCCCCAGATGTTTTGATGGGTAAGGACTTCTGCAAAGCTTTGATTCTAAGTTCAGCTTAAAAATGCGTAATTTAATCAGATATGGTAATGCATGCTTGCAACCCCAGCTACTGGGGAAGCTGAGGTAGGAGGATTGCAAAGTGCAAGCCTAGCCTGGGCAATTTAGCAAGACTCTATCTAAAAATAAAATTTAAAAAAATGAAAAAGGGCCAGGAGGGCTGGCAATATAGCTCAGGAGCATAAGTGCCTGCTTGGCAGGTGCAAAGTCCTAAGTTTGATTCCCAGTACCCCACTCCCCCAAAAAAGAGTACTGATATAGTTCTCGGCACTCCCTGGGTTTGATTCTCAGTACTGCAAAAAGGAACAAAATGCATATTTTAAATCAGATGTGGTGGCGCTAGCCTGTAATTGAGCACTCAGGAGGCTCAGACAGTAGGATCAAGAGTTCTAGGCCAGTTTGGTCTGTACAGTGAGATCCCATCGCAATAAAACAAATCCAAAACAAAAAGCATATTTTTATGTTATTTATTTTTCTGATACTGGGAATTGGACTCAGGACCTTCTGTTTGCCAGGCAGGCGCTGTGCTGCTGAGCTAAATCCCAGACTCAAAAAGCATATTTTAAAACCTAATGTCCCAAGAAGTTGACATTAAATACTGTAAATCCTTTGAAGTGTCACCATGCAAACGTACTTGTAAGCTGCTAGGTATCCTTAGTATGTTTCTCTTTTGCTGCCCTGGCCATTTGTATTTACACAGGTTTCAGGAGAAAGTCCTTTGATGCCTCTATCTAATTGATTCCTCTATTCTGTGAAACTAAAGCAAACAAATGTATTGGATGCTGGACTTGATTCATATAAATTGTCATCCATCACCTTGGAGTTAAAAATGATTTTTTAAATTTTTTTTTTTTTGAGACAGGTCCTGCTGTGTAGTTCAGGAAGCCAGAGTTGAACAGGTTAAAGAACCCAAGCTGGCCTCAAACTCATGGTGATCCTCCTACCTCAAACTCATTGTAACCCCAGCACTCTGGGGGGCTAGGCAGGATAATCTAAATTCCAGCTGGGGAGTTTAGTGATTTAGTGAGACATTGTCTCAAAAATAAAAAATGAAAAGGACTCAAGATGTAGCTCAGCGTGAAGGCTCTGGGCTGAGCTTTCGAAGCCCGGCTCTGCCCTTTTCAGCCATGTAGCCGTGGGCATGGCACTCTTCCCTGCTGAGCCTCCAGTGTAGCCCACAGAATGTAGCCAGTCACATCTATTTAAGGAACATCCCGATTCCGTGATATCATGCTGAGCTGTACCATATTCAGGACACAGGAAATAGTAAGCTGCTTTCTACCCTTTCCATACCCACTCCGAGACGTACAGATAGCGTGGACGCCTCCCCACCGAAGATCGGATGTGCAGGTCAGGTGCCACTGGGCTCTGCAGCCAAGGCCCCAGCTACACCCACAGGACCCCTAAGTGCCTTCTGTGTCCCTCTGTGTATGCAGTTCAAGGGCCCCTGCCTACAGAACCAACACTGGGGATCTGCAAGAACTAACCATGGAGCAAGGAGTGCCCAAACCTAGTGTGAGGTCTAAGGCGGTCTGCGTGTGAATCGCTTTTCTTCATGCAGCACTTGAAAACTTTCCATTTGCCTGCCAAAGCTCTTCGGGTGGCTCCACTCAGACCAGTCTTAGCGTTTTCCTTGGTGAAGCAGCCTGTGCAATGCAGGCTCTTTGGCAGATGGTGTTTCCGCTCCCCGAAGTGCCCTTCTTTTCCATCAGCACTAAGCCAAGGAGCAAAAGAAGCTGGCGTTTTATGCCTCCAGTTCACCTGGTACCCTGAAAGCTGCGGTTAGCTTTGCCAGTACTTTTCTTGGCCCCGGAAGTAGAGAGGTCTGTTGAGAAGCTGTTCCTAATTTCTCACTCTTTGAAAAACTACCCAAACAGAAGGAAGCGTGGAAACTGCAGATTCCATTTGATTACTGAGCAGAAGTTACCAGGGCCCTCAGATTGAGAAACATTTGCACAAAGCAAGTATTTAACACTAATTATTTTTTCTGGGGATGGAACCCAAGGTCTCATACTCGATAGGCAAGTGCTCGATCACTGAGCTACACCTCCTGCTTTTACGCTATTTTAATGTCATTCTTTTTTTTTTTTTTTTTTGGTGTGTTTTTGAGACAGGGTCTTGCTATGCAGTTCAGGCTGGTCTTGCGCTCACTTTGTAGTCCAGGTTGGTCTCCAACTCGCATTGAATCTTTTGCCTTAGCCTACTGAGTGCTGAGATTACAGGTGTGTGCCACCTCCCCGGTTTAATGTCCTTCTTATCACCTTAAATTCTCTGAATTAATATCCCCAAAGGGGACCAGAAGAGCCAGATGGGGACTTTGCAACTGGATGAGTACAGGGTGTCAGCCTTGTGAAAGATCTACACTTTGAACCACAACTATTCCTTTCTAGTCAGGACTATCTGTCTTGAGATAATTTTGCTGTTATTTGAGCATTTTTATTTATTTATATATAAGTAATACATAAATAAATAAAAAAAGAAAAAAAGTCCAGACAAGAATTCTGTCCCTGCCAGCTGCAGAGGCTATAACCTGTGGACCAGACATGTATCTACATTTTTTTTTGAGGAAGCCTTTGGCAACATTTCTAATTTGTCTTCAGAAGAAACAGGCCCTACTTTCCACAACAGGCAGCTGAGCCAACACCAGCAGGAGGGAGGAAGTGCTCTTCTGTGCCTGTAGGTTTATCCCTGGATGCTACGGAAACAGCCGCTGCCAGGACAAGAGGAGTACAAAATGGAGAGTCTTTTAAAACTCTTGAGTAAGACGAATATCAGAATCATGACCTAAAAAGGCAAAGACTAGATATTCTAAGGACTGTTGCGGATGCAGCTTGCACATGGCCACAGGATATGTCCAATGTGGCCCTTTTATTAAAGTGAGCCCAGGGGCCGGAGACATAGCTCAGCAGCACAGCGCCTGCCTGGCAAGCGCAAGGTCCTGAGTTTGATTCCTGGCACCCACAAGAATAGATACGTAAATAAAGTGACATAACCATAATAAAAATAAAAATGAACAAATAAATAAAGTGAGCCCAGGGGGAAGACTGCCCATCCAGGCCTGCCCACCAAACTTGCAGCCTTGGCAAATGATAACAAGCAATTCTCGGTTCCCAAGGGCCAAGGCTTAGAGAGCCTCCCATGCGACCTGGTCTGTGCGGCCTCCACAGCCCTGTTGATTGTAATTCCCTCTCACAGATACTGAAAGCTGAGGCTTGGAGGATCACCAACTCCCTCAAACTAGCCCGGTGTCCAAATGCCAGGATCAGACTTCCGTGGAAGTTTCCATTCCAGTCTGCTTTCTTCCAAATGGACAAATTCTTCACAGGCTGCTGCTCAGCAGCGCCTCCCACGCCTGGCTGCGTAGGTGAGAAGGCAGGGAACTGGTGGGGAAACAACTTACCCTGCCCTTCTGGGTGGGTAACTCGGGAGCATTTCCCCTCATTAGATGGATCCCTGGCTGCCCTACTGAGGGAAGGAGCTGGTGACAACAAAGAATGGAAACTAGGTAATGACCATTCAGCCAAACTAGTAGAAGTGCCGTAGCAGATTTTCCACTGCTGAAAGAAACATTAGACTTCTCCTAGAGTTCTCATTGAAAAGTGCCCACCCAGTTATGAAGGAAACAGGATTAACTTACTGTATACAGGAGAGGAGCTGCTTGGCAGCCACAGGGGAAAGCAGGCTGTTTGGAACAGAGCGCTTCGGGAAGGGAATGTCAACAGAGTAGAAACTCAAGTGTGCAAGGGGCATTCCAAATCAGAAACAGGAAGCTACATACATCCAGAGAGAGGCTGCCACGACAGTTGGACAGGCCAGCACCTGGCTCAAGAGCGTCACATTCCCTTCTTGTGCTTTGCTTCCTTAGACTGGAAGGGAAGGGGCACACGGCTGCCTGATCTTCACCGGGGAGGGCAGTCACAGGGGGGCGGACCCCGAGGTTCATGGGCTTGCTAATTCTTTCCTAGAGTCCCTTCTGTTTTCTGTCGAGTAGGAAGACATTTTAGCAAATGACTCCAGTAATGCTTTAATTAACTGCAGTGTTTTGTATCCAGTATGCACCAATGAATCATTTCCAGATGGGCAAGATGATATCTACATAAAAAAAGATCCCTTTATTTTAAAGAAATTTAGATTTCTCTAAGGTATACAACTCTAAGGGCCCAAGAAGCTATTTTGATAGATACTAGGATGGGAGTGGAAATTTGTATTTAACATATAAAGTACAAGGGTATTCTTCACATCTGCCAGTTTTTCATGAGTCCACATTTCCAAGGTTAACGCTTAAATGGCTCAATACAGTCGGTTCTAATGACTTTAGTTTTAGGAATCTGATTGGAGGAGACAAGAAGTGTGGAACACTTGCCTTCATCCTCATGCAAGCTAGCTATTTTGAGACTTCTTCCCAAGGAGAGGAATTACATACCCAGCTGTGTACTTCTGGCACCTCCCTTAGCATTCTGTAAACAGGGAAAAGGCTTCCTTATCTGAAAATTCAGGACAGACCCAGGTAACAACGCCTGCACCTCAGACCTGCCTTCCACCCTCGTGCCTGTCACTGTTATGCTGTTCCCAGTTTCTCTGCTTTTATTTATTCCTGTCTGATCTGCATGAGGAGCCTTTCTAGCGTTGAGAAGGCACATACCTTATCTGGGTTCTGGGCAGGGTCGTGGCTACTAGTTCCTTATTTTGCTAGGGAGGAGTAAACAGTGATAGCTTCAAATTTAGAACTGAATTTAGAGGTCAAAACATGCTGCCTATTGTGGGGATGGCGTAAACACAGCTTTGTCCAGCTGAGCACCTTGAGGCAGGGCCCAGGAAGTCTCTCCATAATACCAATACTTACTTTAATGACAAAGTGGACTCAAAGCTTTTTTTTTTTTAAAGGTTAGAGAAAATGTGTTGAGGAGGGATGGAATAAATCTAATTTTAGCCAAATCACTGAGTGTCAGCTATCACTTTTATCAATGTATGGTCCTTTATATACGTTCCTTGGAAGTAACAATAATAAAAAAAGTTGTTTGGAGTGTGATCATCAAAATAACCTAATCAGTATGAGGACAGCCCAATTCCTAGGGTGGTTCCAACCACCAACACAAGTTTAAAACTATTAATTACCAGCAAAGACCACTGTACAGTAGCTAAACTTTCTTCGGGAACCAAAAAATATATACTAAGAAAATGGGCTACAAAATCCCTTCAATAAGGTAAATTTCTCTCCATTGCAATGATTCTTAGCAAGAAGTAAACATTACAGTTAGCCTTCTGTGTCTGTGAGTTCTACATCTGTAGATTCCATCAGAGGCAGGTCAAAAGTATTTGAAAAAAACCCTGTGTTTGTATTAAATATATGGGGCTGGGGATTTAGCTCAGAGGCATAAGCACCTGCCTTGCAAGCAGGCGGTCCTGAGTTCGATCTCCAGTACTGGGAAAAAAAAAAGTACTAAATATATACAGCCTTTTTTATCATCATCCCATAAATACAGTATAACCATTTGTGTAGCATTTACATTGTATTAGGTAGCAGAAGTGGTTTAAAGATGACTTACAGCATAGAGAGAATGTGCTCAGAACATATGCAAATACTACTTCATTTTATATAGGGAACTTGAACATCTCATATTTTGGTATCTATAGATCCCGCAGCAAATCCTCCTGGATGCTGATAGACAACTGTAATCACCTACGAAGCTGTTTTTTTTTTTTTTTTTTGATCTCTTTTGAGACAGGGTCTTGGTACACAGTTCAGGCTGGCCTTTAGCTGAATTTGTAGCCCAGGTATAATCTCAAACTTGCAATGAGCCTCCTACCTCAGCCTCCTGTGTGCTGGGATTACAAGCATGTACCATCACGCCTGGCTTTTACAGGTCTTTATTTATTTTATTTTTCCTACAGAGCTTTTAAACCTACATTCTACATCCAGATGAGGAGGCACTCATTTGTAACCCCAGCACTCAAGAGATTGAGGCAGAAAGATTACCACAAGTTCAAAGCCACCCTCTGCTACATAGCAAGTTCAAACCAGCCTGAACTACATAGTGAGATCCTGTCTCAAAAAATAAACAAACAAAAAACCTAACCAAAAATAAATAAACCGACATACCAGGACCCACTGCAGATTTACTGACTCAAAATCTCTTGGCACCTGCATTTTTTTTTTTTAAAAGAACCCCAGGTGATTCTGATGTATCTCTACAGAAAGCACACACAGCATTCAGTCCCATCAGTGAGACATTTAACACAGCTCCTACTGACATCTGTTGGCCCCCTGGGGATTACTGACAATGTACTAAATCAGAGAGCAACTTCCCTGGCTGTGACCACCAACTGGGAAACACAGCAGCTTGACACCTCAGTGCCATAATGGAGACATCTAGAAAACAACTCCTCCTGAGTGAACCAAAAAGAGAAGCGCTGATCTGTAAACACCAAGAGTGACAAGAACCAGGTGCAGGAGTCGTGGGCTTTCCCAGCTCCCCAAGGCTGATGACAGATGGCTGACTATGCTGTCTAGAGACAGCCCACCACCCCTTCTTTCCAATCACTCCAGCAGGGGAGCACAAAGCAGAGGGTCCCTCTCATTAGCGCCCCCCCGGGTGCCCTCCCCACCCTCGCAGCCCTTGCCTAATTCAGAATCTCTTTCCATAAGAGCTCAACTAAAGGCCACATCTCTTTCTTTCACCATGTTTTTCTACTTACTGTTCTCAAATTTGAAATGCCAAGTAAGTAAGAGCCCTGCTGACTACCAAGAACATGCTGAAAGCTGATGAAGAGTGAGGATCTGGGGTTGCTAGAGTAGTGGTTGAGTGTTTGCCTAGCACTGTCCAGGCTCACACACACACACACACACAGAGCCCAAGGACCAAAGCTGTGGCTGATGGACAGTCAGAAGGGCCAATGGAAACAGTGCAGAGCGGTTACGTTGGAAAAACAGGGGGAACAAATAACGTTTCTGGTAAACTCTTCAATCCTTTGAGGTGTCTGCCGTAGACTGTCACAGGTTTTATAGACTTTCAAGAAAACTTCCCATCCTGAAAACTCACTTCTGTTATGTGATATATATTATTATTATTATTATTTGGCAGGTGGTGCTAGGGCTGGAACCCAGGGCTTCAAGAATGCTAGGCAAGTGCTCCGATGCTGAGCCACACCCCCACCCTTTGGTATTTCAGTTTTATCCGGAGGCCTGTTATGGAGCTCTGTGGGGAGCTCCACCTTCCTCCTCAGCTTCCCACCTATCCAACAAACATACTACCTGGATAAAAGCTGTTATTAGAGCATCCACTCTGAGGGTTTCAATGGACCAACGAACTGGAGTGACTCCCTGAAATGTTGCCTGTTCCCTGATGCAGGATGCCATGAGAGGGCTGAAGCAGCTATATGGAGCAGCTTTCTGCACAGCTCTGCTGCCAAGAACTGGTGGTGATCAGGAAGGACAGGCCGGGGTCAGGCTGTGCTCCGGGTGGTGCCAGGTCCTGAGTTTGGTGTGTAACAACAACATTCTGCTCTTAGGTATCCAACGGCTGGGTTCTTTCCAGTCAGTAGCACAGTAATGTGCCACACTGGCACTGCACAGTACTTTCTGTTGTTTCAGGTGGCTGGAAAGTGCTCTGGACTTGGAAATGAATGAGCAGGGAGAAGATCAGATGATATAGGCCTCCTACTCCCTCTCGCAGTTTCATCTGCAAAGAAAGCCTAGGAGAGGCTTTTAGGAAGACTTTCTGGTTTCCATGTATAGAAGGCAATCTCTTCCCTAGAGCTCTGGGGCAGAGCGGGAATAAAGAAACGGAGGAAATAATCTGCTCACTTATCCTGGTGCCCTGCTAAGTGGAACTAAGTCATTAAATCAGATCTAGGGTTGCTTCCACACCTGGTCTGTCAACACCCGGTGAATGTAGGCCTCCATGCTAAGGACGGAGAGGGCCTCTATCCTCTGGAGAACAAGAAATGGAGTACACGGGAAAACTTGGTCCTGACATAATAGGTATCAGGAACACAGTATGTCCCAGAAAACTGAGATTTACACAGAAAAGTGCACTTGCCTCCACTGCCTTCATAAAGAACAGCAGCATCCTGTCCTGCAGTCTGCTCATCACTCAGGCCCCACAGTCATCCCAAGGACAAGGAGGAAAACCCAATGGTTGTAGGGGAGGAAGGGCAAGGTCCATGCTTCCCCACCCCAGCTGCCTCACAAGTGTGTGGTGGGGGTAGCGGTGACTGCTGAGGGAGGCCACAAAAGTCCATGGCAACCCCATCACTGTGGAAGCAGTGACTGAACTACTGCGTGCCCTCACCATGGCTGCCTCCACTTCAGGAACAAGAGATAATGGAAATTGCTATTTTATAACCAGCTTCTCCAGCCGGGACGGAATTAAGACAGGGGACAGGAGGGACATACTAACAACTCCAATGTCCCAGGAAATCTCAAGACAGGATCTGAGAGTCATGGGATTAAAAGGCGGCAGTTGAGGGCTTCCAGAAACTGGCTTCTGAGGGTTCTGTGCTCCTACAGTCTTTTCTTAATTAGTTTCTCAAGTTTGCGGATACGAGAAGACTCCTGTTCTGGGGTGGGCGTCATCAGGGACAGGGAGCTGGAGCCTTCGGCCCCTGAGGGTGGCGTGGGGAGCCTCTGGCGCAGGAGCTCCAGCATGCTGCTCTGCTCACTCCTCTTCAGTCCCTGGGGAAAGAAAAAGGAACAGAACGGACTCCGAAGGTGGCCCGTCTAGAGCACTGGGGCAAAAGCTTTCTTCACCCGGGAATTACCAGCCCTGGGAAGTAACCTGGGAGAAAAGCAGAGGAAGAAAAACAAAGTACTAGAGTAGCAGCCAGGGAAGAGGTGGGAGAGGACAGGAGGATGAAGGAAAGGAAAATCTTTTTGCTCTTTAGGGAAGTCTCGGAATCCTGCAGCCACGTGCCCAGGATCAGCCTCCTAGAATGGGTTCCTGGAATCCAGACTGCAGGGGGGCCAGTGACATGCACTTTGAGGCAGCCACCAGGAGCCTGTATCTCTCCCCAAAGCGTGAGAAGCAGGTATGTAGTGGACAAAACAAGAACCTGGGCTTACTTTCATGTCCAGTATCTTCTGGAAGGTTTCAGTGTTGCAGTCTGTAAGGAGCTTGATGTAGTTGTCCACAAACACCACCAAGGGCTCATGAGGGGCCATCACCACCTATGGAGGGAAGGGAGAACTCTCAGTGGAAGGGTGTTTGGCAGCTGGCCACCAAGGAGGCCTGCAAGAGTCCCTTAAGCAATAACTACCCCAAACTCAGAAATGCCTGATGCCTATTTAATCTTCATACTCATTTGGAACAATGTTTCCAAAAGTTCCAGATCACCAAGTTGCTTGTGGATGTACAGATTCCTAGGTTCCACCTCTGAGGATTGTAATTCAGTAGGCCTTGCTGAGAGATTTTTCTAATTATTGAGAAAAACTGTTGGAGGTCTACTGTGGGAGGCATGTCATGGGCACAGGGTACTTGTTCCTTCTATTCCTGATAAACAGGCAGCAAAGGAACTGGTGTAAGTAGGTTTTCTAAAACACAATTCAAAGCTGTCCCCCCTCCCCAGGACTGAACCTCCTAGAGTCTCATGCAGTAGGCAAGCACTGCACCACTGAGCAATACTAGACCTGGCCCAGCTGCCTCATTCTTTTGAAGATCTACAATCTGGAGCTTTATTTAACCTCATTCATTTAAACTATCAGTTTAATATTTAATATTTAATATACAAACAGATGGCATCACAATCCTGGGTTCAAATCTACTTGGTTACAGAATGTGGCACTTGACTTTCTTCCCCAGCTGACTAATCTCATTTTGTGTTCCTATGAAGGTACCAACGGGTGGCAAGGAGCAGTGTGAAGTCCTCTCCAGACAATTCCCAAACTGTATGCCCTCTTCCCTGGAAATAAGCAAGCTGGGGAAGGGCACCATTAGGCAGCTCCCAGGTTTCCGAGGTCAGGTTTGTGCAGGACCTGCACCAGGTCCCACTGCCACTTTTCACTCCTGCCGTCACTGAGTCATTTTGTTTGGGAAATGAGCTGGAAGAAGCTGCAGACCCAGGCTCTCACACCCCAGCAGGACAGTGCTGTTTCTTCCCTAGCCTCCTCCCCTTTCTCCACCGTACAGGTGGAAACTAAAGCAGGCTGCATCAAGCTGCAGACATTCTCCACAATGCCATCACCCGAAGTATAATCTTTTGTTAAATGAGGCCATGAAGGACCCATTTGCTGATTAGATTCACTTACTACTACATCTGTTCAGAGCTCATTTAAAGATACAAAGTATAGAAAACCAAAAAGCCTCCTGTGGAAGGGGGAAACTGACAGCTGGGCTGAAATTCCTGCTGAGAAGCAAAAGGATCCCTGAGTGACACACTGATTTACAATATATCAACACTTCACTCCCAAGTGTGGCTAAATCTGATTATGAGGGAATTCCGTGACAACAGAGAATTCTTTGTCAGAAAGAATTACTGATCCCTAAGTAACTATCTGCTGACTTGCAGTAATACTTGATGAGACTACAATTTAAATCCAGCCTAGGAATGTGGACAAACCCTTTGGGAATGGTGGGGATACGTCCTCCTCATCTTTAAAACTCAAACATCCTAGAATAAGGGATCAAATAAATAACTGGCCCTCTTTAACAGAATCCCCAAGGAAGCCACAACCGTCACCTTGAGGATCATCTCAGCCCGGGTCATGCCTTTCACAACAATCTTAGTGTAGCTGGCAGGCGCCTTCCTCACCACCTGGGAGCCGATGGAAGGAAGGTCAAGCAGGACCATCTTCAAGGAGTGGGTGTCCAGCAGCAACTGTGGGTCAAAGCAGAGTGTTACCAGCCACTTCCCAGGAACATAACACTTTGTAAGCCATGTTGATTCCTCAAGTTTTTCTGGTTAGACCTACAACACATTCATATTGCAGAAAACCTGGAAAACAAACAGACCTATAAAAAAAATTAACAAGGTGTGGCGGCATGTCCCTGTAACTCCAGGACTCTGGGAAGCTGAAGTAGGAGAATCACAAATTCAAGTTCAGTCTGGGCAACATCGCAAGACCTTTTCTCAAAAAATAAAAAATCAGGGCCGGGGATTTAGCTCAGCAGAATAAGCGCCTACCTGGCAAGTGTGAGGTTGTGAGTTCGATCCCCAGTACCAAAAAAATAAAATAAAATAAAATAAAATAAAATAAAATAAAATAAAATAAAAAATAAAAAATGGGCTAGGGATATAGTTCAGTAAAAAGGCCTTAGGTCCAATTCCTAGCAATATATATATATATATATATATATACACACACACACACACACACACACACACACACACACACACACAAAAGAAAAAACTGTGTTTCTCATACCCAGGAAAACAACATCAGGATATCACAATTAAATGTGATAAAATTCCTGCTGCTGTGTGTACGTATATTAAAAAAGGAAAACCAGAATTACATTTTCTTTGGGTACATATAGTTAAAAACTTGTTTTATTTTCACTTAACATTTTTGGGTTCTATTTTCCCATCTTGGCAGTATTGTATTAAAAAATCCCAATTGTTAATGGCTACATAGTACTCTACTGCATATGAGTATGAGTAAGTTTAAAGTATTAAACTATTATAATTTGCTCTTAGATTTTTATTATTAGAAACAAATATTGAGGTGGACAGCTTTACATCATATTTTGGGCGCACAATGGTGTTTCCATAAGAGATAGTGCTTTGTTTTGTTTGAGACAGGGGTCTTACTAAGTTACCAGGCTGGCCTTCAGTTCAGTCTTTCTGCTTCAGCCTGAGTAGCTGAGATTACAAGAGAGAGCAAAATACAGGGATACTTTAAGGTTCCCAATACAATCTGGAATCTTTTTCCAAATGGGTTGTATCTATTTACACACCTGTCAGCAGCATACACCATGCTCTTACTGGGACTGAAAACTAACATAAAAATCCTTTTATTTATTAGGCAAAAGTGGTTGCTACAGTATTTTGTATTTCTCTGGATGCTAGGGAGGTAGGAGATTTAACCAAATTCAAATATATCTTAGCAACAACTCATTGTTTCCTGTTTGTTGGTCCTAGTTCCTAGAGAATGCTAATTCTCTGGAAGGTTATCAGCTTTCCTGTCTGGAGTAATGCTAGGAATGTTACATCACATTTAGCCTTCACGAGGATCTTCCCTTAAGAAAAATTCAAAAGTTGACAAGCACTCGGTTAGCATAACCAGGCCCTTGGATTGAATCCCCAGCACCACAATGCAAGAAATAAGCAAGCAAGCAGGGAGGCATGTAAACGCATAGCATACGTTAATTTAACCATTTTGGGGAATATTTTCTTAATTGAAGATTAAGAAATAATCTTAATGCAAATAGCCTCTAATACATCATTTTAACCTACACAGTTTAGAGAAATTCTTGGATTTTGGTTTTTTTTTTTTTTTTTTTTTTGTCTTTTTCCTTTTTATCGGTACCGGGGATTGAACTCATGACTGCCTGTTTGCAAGGCAGGCGCTTATGCCGCTGAGCTAAATCCCCAGCCCCAGTTTAGAGAAATTCTTGAGTATGTGGAAAAATGTACCCTTACCCACTCTTTGCCAAAGCAAAAGACTAAAAACCACCTAAGTGTCTGTAAAAAGGAGAATGGATAAACAAATTGTGGTATATTTATGCAATGGAATATGGACCTAAAGTTAAAATGAATGAATACAAATAATATATCTCAACATGTGTAAATCTCAAAAAACATTCAGTTGGGCAAAAAAAAAAAAAAAAAAAAAAAAAAAAATCCAGAGGGGAAATGGTATGTATAGTATGATTTATATAAAGCTTAGAAATGAGCAAAACAAAACTGTATCACTTGTGAGTATATACACACATACCAAAGCACATATGGGAATATCAAAATAAAAATCAGAAAAGTGTTCATCTCTAAGCACAGAGGGAGGGTAACGGCAGGGTGAGAAAAAACAGGAGGCTTCAACAAATAACTAGTGTTTTATTTTGCGTAAAAGAGGATCTAAGCAAGTAGGAATATGTCAGATTTTACTGAGCTGAGTGGTGAGATGGTGTTTTTACATTATTTTCTGCTCTTATTAACTAGAAATTTCTTTCTTTTCTTTTCTTTCTGCCATTTGAGGCCTGGCAAGTATTCAACTTTGTCTTCCATGCAGCAAATTTTAAGAGCCCTGTCAAAACCAAAGCCACCACTTACCATTTATTTGTTGGTAAGGGAAAAGAAAGTCGAAGGTTACATTTAAAAACATATGGGGATACTTTTTAGTCTTTCTATATATTTTTTTTTACTTCCCAGAGACACACTATATGCATGAATAATTGTGCAGTCTTAAGTGACAGGAAGAGTTTTTAATGAACCAGACATAATTCTCCAATGTCTTTCACATCTTAAGGAGATACGACACTTTCATTCCCTGGCCAGTCACAATAAAACGCTGTTTGTACTAGACAGCTGAAGAGATGAAAACCTTGGGTCTGAGATTTTACATGAAGCAATACAGTCCAACAAGATGGGAACTAGTGTGACAGATTTAGCAGCTGTTTTTGGAAACTGAAGATAAAAAGTTCCATTTATGGTGAAAATCTGCTGGTTTTCATCTTTGAAAGTAGGTAACAGTGCAGTTCCTTAAGTGTGGGGCCTGGGGGAGAGGTGGCCATTTGCCAAGTGCATTTGCACCCTAGAGACAATCTTTAGGCTGGAGTTGCTGGCTGAGCCTCCCATGGGCTGAAAGGTGGGCCAGCCCGCTGTGTGTGTGAAAGTGCACTGGAAACCTTAGAAGGCGACCCTTGCTTCTTAAAGAACCCCCTGCAATTCTTGGGGGACACCGCGGCTTCCAGGAGGAATGACTATCTCGAGTAGACAAGATAAAGGCACATGCCTAGAATGCAAAGAACCACATCTGCCCCAGGTTCTTCAGTAAGGTGGCACAGGCAGATGAGTCAAGGTACCAAGAAGGGATGGACGAAGGTGAGGCCGTGCTGTGTTTCTTCCTTTGGTTCTTCTCCCTCCACCCTTTGGCAGTGCTGCGGATGGGTCCCAGGGCCTCACAAATGCTAGGCAAATGCTCTACCACTGACATGCACCCCAGCCCTTCCTCTCTTTTAAAATTCAGGCATGACTTATACAAAGCAAAGAACACAAATACCAAGTGTACAGATCGCCAATCTTTTCCATGTGCACACACCTGACTGCTTTTCCAGGCTGTTTCTAGCCTCCTCAAGGACTTCTTCATGTTGTCTTCTGGTCAGTGCTCTCCTTGCCACCCAACGAAAGTAACCATTCTTTTGCCCTCAATCACTGATTACTTTTACCACATATCCCCCCAGCCTGAACACTTTTGTAAATGATTTTGGTGGTCACCACCTCCCGTTTCTCAAGGAAACTTCCAGATAATGGGCAGACACATGCATGTAGCAGAAATCCCTAAACAGTATTCCGGTACAGCTGTGCTAATTGCCGACCTCCCACCACACATGTGCCAAAGGCCCAGTAGCTTTACAGCCTCTCCAACACTTGGTATCACCAGTATTTAAACAGTTTTAATCACTCTGATAATGTGAGTTTAGTTTATACTGACTGCCCTGACGATTTGTCTGATTTTCTGCTTTTTGTTTTTTGAGACAGATTCTTGCTATGTTGTCCAAGGTTGCTCTGAACTCACTATGTATAGCTTGGCCTAAATTTTTTTTAAGTACTCCAAATAACCAATTATTTTTCCCTTCACTCTCCTGTTTAAAGAATTTTTGCCCCACCCAAACTCATAAAGGTATACTTTTCTGTTATCATCTAGAAATTTATCATCCAGAAATGTCTTACCTTTATTTCATAATCCACCTGGAACTGATTTTTTAAAAAATTGTGATACATGGGGCTGGGGATTTAGCTCAGTGGCATAAGCGCCTGCCTTGCAAGCAGGTAGTTGTGAGTTCGATCCCTGGTACCGATAAAAAACGAAAAAGACAAAAAAAAAAAAAAAATTGCGATACAATTCATGTTCCCTAAAATTTATCCTTTCAACATATATGATTCAATATTTTCAAAAACTCATTCATAAAGTTATATAACCATCATTATTACCTAAGTGTTTTTTTTTGTTTTTGATATTGGGGATCAGACTTATGACCTTGCACTTAACAGGCAGGGGCTGGAGCTGCTGAGCCATATCACTGGCCCACTGTTACCCAGGTCAAGATCACTTCACCACTCCACGAAGAAACCCTGTACCTACCAAAATGTGCTCCCTTAGTCTTTCCCAATCATCAACTGACTTTCTGTTTTATGGATCTGCCCATTTTGGACATTTCATATAAGTGAAGTATTTGTGCCTGGCCTTTTTCGTTTAATGTAATGATTTCATATATGCTGTAGTATAAGCGAGTTCTTCCTTCCTTCCTCCCTCTTCTTTCTTTCCCATTATGTGGGGATAGAACTTGGGACCTTTGCATTGAGCTACTAGCTACTTTTTTTTCCCTCTAAAGACAGGGTCCTAGAAAAGAGTGCAGATGAATTATTAATCTGCAGAGCGGTAGCATGTACTTGCAAGTTCCTTTTCCCAAGATTCTTCACTAATTAAAAGATCATTCACAGTGTGAGAAGTAGACTGATAGCAAACAGATGGAGTCCAGTGCAGGCCAGCTGGTTTGTCCTGGTTTTGTCTGTCACTGATGTGAAGCAAGTTCCTTTATCTCTCTATAACAGTTTCCTCATCTGTAAAATAGCAGATAGATAATTCCTACCCGGTCTACCTCACAGAGTTGTTGTGTGAGGACAAACGGCCACCGGTAATAGATGAACTAGTCTAATAT